AGGCCCGGCCTGGGCGAGCTGCTGGTCCGCCCCGAGGCTCTGACGCTGGGCAACCTGGCCCTGCTGGCCGGCGTCATTGGCCTTGCGTCCGCCACTGCGACGGTGCTGGTGTGGTGAGTCCCGGGGTGCAGGCTCGGGGTCCAGGTCCTCTCAGCTTTGAGATCCAGGCTCCAGGGCCTGTATTTCTGTCCTCAAACTACCTCCCCAACACGCGTGCCTCCTTATTCCCCAGGGCGTTCTTTCGGTGGTATTTGAGTGGCGACTGACAAAGGTACCTCGTGTATGTGACAGTTTCACTCCCAAATAAAGAGTACATTTCAGCGCTGGGTTCTTTGACTTCTGAAGGTCCCCGTGGTGACAGTAGGGACCGTGCTGAGGCTGTCAGGTTCCCGCCCAGGCCCCTCCCGCGTCCCTGGCAGGCCCTGACATTTCCCTGTGCAGGAAACACCCGAAGAGTCCCCCGTGTCCCCGTTTCCTTCCTCTTAGACCGCCAGCGGCCCGCAGCGCAGACCAGAGTGCTGACTCATGTTTAAGCCCTTCTCCTCTCCAGATCCAGTGCCAGGTCTCCGCCTTTTTAACTCCTGTCCCCTGGGTCCCAGTCATCACTGTGTCGTGTCTGGATCAGGGCGGCAGCCTCGCACTCACCTCCCTGCCCCTGCTTGGCCTCATTCCTGTCGCCCTTTCTCTTCAGAGCTGGAGCAGTATTTTACGTCCCGGGTGTCCAGCCTTTTGGCTTGCCTGGGCCGCATAGAAAAATAGACTATGCTTAATGTCTCCAAGTGACAGGGCTTCCTCCTTTAACATTTGAACTTATTAAATAAGTTTACAAAACAGTACAAGCCCAGGTATAATAAAGAGCACGTCCTCACAGGTGCACATGCCCCCTGCCGGTAGGCTGGAATACTGTTACTGGTGGTTGTGTTTTAGTCACCCAGTCACGCACGCGTGTCATGTGTGATCCGCGTGGATTTCAAGTTGGCTGCGTGGGGCAGGTGGAGCAGGCCCCCAGCACCACAGGGCACCCCTGCCTACACGGTGCTCAGCTGCCCGTCGGGGTGCAGCGGAGTCGGGAAGAATATTGCCGAGTGTCATCACATCACTACGTCGAGTTTTCACCTTGTCTGTCCAGGGTTGCATGTGGCAGCTTGAAAGTACGTCAGACTGGGTCACTTCCCTGCTCCCGGTTTTTCAGTGACTTCCCTAACTGCCAGCGGAACAAAACCCAATTCCTGCTTCCAGGCTCTGGGGCTCCACAGGTTCCAACCCTTGCTGACCTGGTTGGCCTTGTCGCCTCCCGCACAGATGGAGGCTGAGATATCAACTTCCTTCCCTGCAGTTTCTCTGGCCTTTTCTCCCTCCTTGTGAGCCTTTGCTGTCTCCATGGGGTCTTGGTACATACATGTTGTTGCTTGCCTAGAATAATGTTTTTTCTTTGTCCGGTTAATCGTGATTTTCCTTGAACAGCCGTCTCGTACCTTCACTCAATCCTATGACAACTGTGAGTCCAGCCCTCACTGTGTTAGTTTCTCGACCTCCCCTCACCCCGCTTGCTGCTTCTCAGCTCCAGGGGCCTCTGTTTTTGGTCCTTGGACGTTCACAGCTCGTCCCTGCCCAGGCCTCTGGTCTTGAGAAGTTCCTCCAGGAACCCACCTCGCCGTCGTGCGTGGGCTCCAGCCCGTGTGCCACGTTCTCTGACTGCTCCCTGACCCTCCCACTCCAGTGTGCGCAGCACAGAGCCCCGCGGGGCGTGCTGCTGTGGGGCCACGTTTCTCTCTCCCTAAGAGAAGCCGCCGAGAGAGCGTCCTCTTTCCTGTTGTGTCCCCTTCTGGGTCTTGCTCAGCTCGGATTTACGGTGCGCCACGCACCCTAACCCTAACTCTAGAACTGGTGATGAAACAGAAGAGAAAGTAGACAACCTGGCCTCTCGCTGAATTTAAGATTCTGGTTGGTAGCAAAAGAAAGCTTTCCCTACTCGTGACGCCAAAGGACAAAGTGTAGTGCTGTTTTTGTAGTGTTTTATGGTTTTTGGCCTTAATAACTGATTCCCCCCAACACTCTGGACACTAGTTGAGTGTTTATAATTTAACTCTGATGCCGACTATCAGGGTTATTGTCAAGCTCTAAGGATTTAGGGCTCAGACCCACAAGATTGCTGTCCCTTTAGGTACCAGTCACAAATAGCGGGCCCTAGGGAACCCACACTTCCAACTTTGCTACAAAAGTGGGGGCGCTGGGAACCCATCCCTGCCCCCAGTTCAGTAATTTTCAAGAGCTATTATATAACAGTGAAACATTTTGCAGTTCGTAAAGGATGTCATGCAGAAAATGTTCACAGCCAGGTAGAGAGGTACCCAGGCTGGTAGGGTCTCAAGTGGCAGCGTCTCTGCCCCATGGACTGGGGGAGCATTACCCTCACGGCATGGGGATGTGTGCACCGCTCCAGAAGCTCTCTGGGCCCCACACTTCATGACACAGGCACAGCCAGTGGCTGTCAGTCTCCCAAGGGTGGCAGTTGAGGCTGAAAGCTCCACCAACCTCGTCGTGGCTTAGTCTGGCTGGTGAGCAGCCCCCCAAGACTCACGAGTGTGAGTAGAACAAAGGCTGCTCCTGTCACCCAGGAAATCCCAGGGTTTAGGAGCTCTGTGCGATGTGCCCCTCACCGTCACCCTGATCAATAGCAAGTAAGACAGGTCCCGAGGACAGACACCTCAGTTTTCTACTGTGCCCTCGTAAGAAATGAAAGTAAAATAACGTCGAGTCGCATGAGCATACAGGTAAGGGAGAGGATAAGGCAGAGACACAAGCTGGGAGCATCGTGAGGGAGGAGGTATCAGAAGGGTCCTTGGGGGCGGCCTGACTGAGAAGGTGACTTCGGAGAGCCCGGAGGGGCTGAGGGTGGGGCCGCTGGACATCTGTGTTAGGAGCAGGAGCCCGAGACAGGAGGATCACAGTGGGGGAACAGCCCGCAGGCCGCTGTGGCTGGAGCGGGCTTTGGGAAATAAGTAGACAGTGATGTCAGAACCCGCGGGGAAGGGAGCCAGACCCAGACGTTGGGCCACTGTGAGGTCTGGGTTTTCCTCTAAGATGAGCACCACGGGCAGCTTCCAGCCAAGGAAGGTCATGGCCCTGACGGACAAGGTTACTCGGCGGCCAAGGGTGGAAGTCTAGGCACTGCAGTCACTCGGGCAAACACAAGATGAAGCTCGGGAGGCGGTGTCGGGAAGCTGAAGAGGTGTGGCTTCAGATTTGTCCAAAGGGAAGACCCAGTGGGCTTTGCTCGAGAACCTTCTGGCATAATGGAAATACTCTAGGTCTGTACGATCCAGTGTGGCAGCGCCCACCGCTGTGCCCAGCATGGGACTGAGTGGATAACCTTGGGTAGCTTTAATTAGTCTCAGCTCTGTGACAACAGAAATCTCAGGGGTGTGTGCCTCTGGGTACTTGTTGAGCTCCCAGAAGCTGGGAGCTCGTACTCTGTTCTGCATTTGCAAAACTGGCAGAGCACGTGGAACTCAGTAAGCACTTGGTAGATACGTTCATGACTTACTGGATCAACAACTGACGTAAAGCAGTAGGGGCTACTGTTTGGACAGCACAGCTCTGCCTACTGAGCCAGGGAAACCCGGGGAGCAGATTTCTGGGGGCTAAGGGCGGAAAGAGGAGAGCCGGGAGTCTGGATCCGCCGAAGGGGGCTGTGGACATGCACACCTGGGATGGAGGGGCGAGGCCTGGTCTGAAAATCAAAGACTGGGAGTCCTGTCTCTAAGCACAGAGCACGGTTGTGGTGCCCAGAGCCATGGATCAAGGGAAAGAGGATGAGAAGAAGTTTCTCCTAGTGAAGAGGACCCGGAGAACAAAACTAAGGGAGAAACACAGCCAGGCACCTTCGGCCTCCCGAAAGCCAAGAGAAGAGACCACTTCAAGGAGGAGGCGTGTGCCGCTGCACCAGACGCTGCCAGACGGTACTGTGGCAGGCCTAGGACTGGCCATGGGCTTTAGTGGTGTGGACTTCACCGTGAACTTGACAGGAACAGCGTGTAGGTGGAGGCGGGCGCTGCCTGTCCGACTGGCATAGGTTTGAACCTATGGGAATCACATCATTCACGGTGGAAATAGAAATTAAAACCACGACGAGATACCAGTTTGCACTCACTCGTTAGCCTGTAATCAGACTGTCACTCCTGACTGCCCTGGCAAGTGCTGAGAGAAACTGGAACCTTTGTAGCCTTGCTGGTGGGAAAGTGAAATAGTACAGTCCCTGTGGGAAATGGCCTGTCAATTCCTAAGGGGGAAAAAGATGATGAAACACTTAGCACGGAACCCAGCAATTCCTTTCCTAGGTCCACAGCTGCGATGAAGCCTCCCCCAGTGACTCAGGGCTTGATCCCCAGCACAGCAGTGTCCAGAGAGGGGCCTAAAGGGTGACTGGATTTTGCGGGTCCTAACCTGATGATCCATGGCTCACCCCATACCCGAGTTACAGCTGGGTGGGCTCTCCGAGGGGAGACTCCATTGACTTCCTTGGAAGGGCCAATCTTCTCCCGCTTGCCTCCTGCACTCTGCTTTGTGGCTGCCACAGATGGGCGGCTTTCTCTGCCCTGGAGCTTCTGCCTTGGAACCCGCCAACCATGGACGGAAGCCTCTGGAACTGTAAGCCAAAAATAAACTTTTTTCCCTTCTAAGTTGTGCATGTTGTGCCTTTGTCCAGCAGTGGAAACCTAACACAAAAAGCCAGCAGAGCTAAAACAAAACAAAACAAAACAAAAAGCTCTATCCTTAGAAAAACTTGTGCATGAATGTTCATAACGGCTTCAACACGGAAGCATTGCCAGGGTCCATCAGCTGATAAATAGCTAGACAAAATGCTGTATTTGTACTGTGGAATATTACTTGGTCATAAAAAGGAATGTCAGAGATAAATGCAACGATGTGAATGAACCTTAAAAACATCACACTAGGCGAAAGTTACAAGAGAGTACAAGTTGCTTGATTCCACTTCTGTGAAATTTCCGGAATAGGTAGATGTATTAGGCAGCAGATGAGTGGCTGCGAGGGTCCTGGGGGTGATGTAAGATGAGGAACGAGGAGTGATCATCAGTGGGCACGGGGGTCCTTTCTGGAGTGCTGAAAAGTTCCAAAAATTAGATTGTGCCGATGGCTGCACAAATCTACACATTTACTAAAAACCGCTGGGTTTGGCAAGGGAGAGACGCTGGAGACGGGATAAAAGCAGCTCTCAAGTTTTTCTATTAACAGAAAAAGAAGTGGGGAAACAGGTTGAGAGAATTTGAGAAACGGCAGAACAGTGTACTCAGATGTCCATGGGGAAGAGCTCTACGCCAGGGAAACACTGGCTATTGCGGGCCAGGTGAGACCTCTCCCCCCCCCGTCCGCAGACAGCTCGCCCTCAGCCACCGGAAGCAGCCGCAAGGTTTGGCTTCTGAGCCTAGGCACGGGTGGGCCGGGCCACTGGCGTCACCCACTGGCCGTGACAGCGCCCCACGGGGTCTCTCCCTCAGGGACGCTGGCCCGTGGGTTGATGTCCCTGTAGGTTCCCAGGAAGGAGAATGCCCAGCCCAGGTCCAAACAGCCAGCGCCCAGCACAGCCCGAGCGCTCAGCTCTCATTCGTGGAACCCTCCCCAAGCAAAGTCATCAGAAAACCGGCCAGGGGGCTCGGGAGAAAATAAATAAAATTCTTTATTATTTCCTAATCACAGTACAAACATTAAATTAGAACAGGGCGAAAGTGGGGCCCTTCCCCAAGCCTACAAAGCCACACCCCATCAATAAATACCCCTCCCGGCAGTCCCAGGCCGCGGTCCGGCCGAAGCGCCTCGGCCCG